AAAGGAATGATGAGGTCAACCAGAACACAAATTCTGAAAGGAACCAGAACTAATGCATGTATCCTGAGAAACTTAAAAAATGACCCCAGAAGACTGTCCAACAAGATCTGGAAGGTGCAAACATGAGAGTTATAGGTGCTGATAAAGCCTTTCGCTGAACTGGGTGGTGAGCTAGGGAATAATATGCTTCATTGCTTGAGGAGTAGTTGTGGTTTGCACTCTCCCCAGTGTGCTGAGAGTCAGGCTCCTCTCTGCTGCTGGCTGAAATGCTTCAGACCCTGGGGTATTTCAGTCAGCAGCACAGAGCAAGCTGTGCACAGTATCTGTGGTGTGCATCAGGATTTAGTAAATATATTTCTATATATCTGCACACTGTAGACCACCTTTTATGCGTGTTGTTATTTGAGGGTGCTAAAAAGTAGGTGGCATTTAGATTTGGATATTCTTGGTTGTTGGTTTAAAACCATCCATTTGCATTTATCATAAAAAAAAAAAAAAAAAAAAAAAAAAAAAAAAAAAAGAGAAGTTTTTGGCTTCTGGCCAGAGACAGACAATGGAAAGAGGGCAGCTCACCCAGCCTGCTGTCTTCTGATGCTTTACAGGCTGCCCATGCTTCATGCTCTGCAGTGCTTAAAGGCTTATGTGCCATGTGTGGTTATGCATGGAAACTTCAGGATAGTCTCTGCCATCAGTGGGATCACTTGTACAATAATGTACTTTGTTCAGGATACATCAGTGCTTTATTTGTGATCATAAAAAAAAAAAAAAAAAGGTTATGGGCAGAACAGTTTGACTACTAAAGGTAAATAAGGGGTTATGAATGAAGAGAGGTTGAGACTGAAGGGAAAGATTTCTGAACTGTGACAAGATAAATCTTTTAGTTTGTGTAGATTAGTGAGAGAAGAAAAGAACATGAACTGAAAAGATTTCACTAATTGGCTACTTGTTACTACAAAAGACTAGTGCTGGGAACATAATGTAGATCAGCTTCAATATGCTGTATCCAATACTTTTATCTCTTCCCAAAGCAACGTCCCCTTGACCTTGGAGATTTTATCAGAGGGTTCAATGTTCTTCCTTATAATTTTCTCATATCAAAGGCCTCACTTTTGTTTCCTTTGCACATAAATTGAACCTGTAGAGATGTCTACATATGACTAAATCTTTATGTGATCTACAATGGAGAAAAGAAATTTATCACTGGAATAAGTTGTATATTGAATGGACTAGGAGAAGCACAAAAAGCAGCAAATGTTCCCTATTACTACCCTATTTGTACTTGAAGTACAAATGCCTCTGTAGTTAACTAAAAGATTTAGTGGTCACTTTTGTATGATGAAACAATTGCTTCATTTTGAAGTATCATACTCTGGGTGCAGAACTTGATGGATATAACTGTATGGAAGGTGCTGTGCTCCTTGAGTTCCTGGAGTTAAGGCTCTGGGCCCCAAGGACAGCCAGACTTCTCATTGCTGCAAGGGCAATTGCTGGCCATGGACAGCTGGAAAGAGCAAATACAGCTGGGCACCAAAACTCCTTCACCTTTTCTAGAATGGCAGGGCTCTCTGTGTATCCATGGCCTTTTTTTCCACCTTGGAAATGCATGGCCAAGAGAATGATGTCACAACCACCTTGTTCCCACACAACAGGTAAAGGGCTGGAGTAATTAATTCAGGGCACTCCTTCCTTTGGCCTGAGATATCTCAAAAGCAGACTTTCCTGGAACTCATTTGGAAGATGGGAATTCTCATATTTTACCTAGAGAATTCTTCCAATCTATTTTCTACTACCAGCAATGAAGCAAGAGGAAAGATAACTGTGTATGATGAAGGTTCTTCCCTGTTTAAGGACTGCTGATTTACTCAAATAATTGATTATACTGGTGCAATTAATGCATTGAAAACTGGGTTTTCAGCTCACATCAAATCAAATTTCCACATATACTGGAAAGATTGAAATGTATCTGATTTTGCTGCTATAAGGAATGCAGATCATTCATGATTCTTTTTTATTATGGGGTACTGGATAACATGCTTACCTCCTTCCCATAAAATCTTTCTTTCCAAAGATCAAAAGGCTTAAAAATATCCCCTTTGTCCTATTGCACAAAGTACTTATAAACTAGGTAGCAATCCTAAGGTGGTATCTTTAACCTTTTAAATGTCAAAATTCGTGGTTAAAGGTGCAGGGATACCAAATAAGAATAGAGCTAGAATAGTTTGATAACCAGAGAGAGCTTACTGTGTACGTACTTGCTTGAGTATATGTACAGGAAAATTGATATATTCTATGCACTTATTCCTGCTATGAAATTTAAGAAAAAGCTATGGAATACTGTCTTAGAAGAAGATCCCAATTTATCATTTCTAGAATATAAACATTTCATCTGCAAATGACAGGCAGTGACCTTTGCACTCTGACCAAACAGGCCCAGGCTAAGCAGGGGTCAACAAAAACAGAGGGAGGGCAAACAACATTTATCTTGAAGATAAACTCTTGAACTGAAATAACAAAAAACTAAGGATCAGAACTACTCAGGATCAAAATTAAAGCCATTTCCTCAAGGAAATTCCTTGTGAGTAGAATAATGAGGTAAAGAAGGAAACATAGTAATTTATTTGAAATGGTTTGGGTTTTTTGTTGGGGGCGAGGATGGATAGGGTTACACAATCTAAATACATTGGACTTTCTGTAGTGAATTACACTGACAAAAATAATTTGGCATGGCCTCAGTCAATCTAAGCTACATTTACAGATGAAGAGTCCGACTGAAAGATTCCCTAAGGTGCTGAAGCTTTCTTCTCTCTTGTCTGTTTCACTGGGCATGGGGGGCACAGCACACGTGGGGATCTTTGCAGAAGGGGTCAGGTGCTGCTATGTTATATCCTGCTCATTCAGATCTGGGCCTGGCCCTCAGAGTGCTGCACTCAGAGCAGTTTATAAAACACATGGCAAAATTCCTATAGGACGGTGCTTGTTAACTGAGGATAACTTTTCCAAGGTCAGGAGTCAATGTGGAAAAGGTCACTAGAATAAGTGGGTGTCCTGAAAGCCTAGACTGTTAATGTGAAATTTCAGTGACAAGAAATTACGGTTTTATATCTTCCTTCCATAGGAAAACAAAGCTACTGTGCAGAAATGCAGACAAGGTTTGAGTTCCTCTAGAGAACTGAAAACATTCCACATGCATGACAACAAAAGGTCACTTATTTTATCCAAATCTAGGTGCCTGAAGATAAATCTTAAATCCATAGTTCGGTAAATCTATGATAGTAGATTGATTTTAGAGTGGTTCTGGATAGCTGTGCTATTCTGGCAGTAGAAGCACTTTTACTTAAAAATATCTGTCCATTTGTATCTTCCCAGTTTTGCATGGATTTAGATGACTAAAAAATATTTTGAAAACTCTCTGAGGACCTTTACAGAAATGGTTTTTTTTATACTACCATTTTTTTTTCCAATAGTCTAACTAGAAATGTCGAGTTTCTGTGAATATAGAGCTCTCTGGATCTATAGAAGAGATAAAACCTCACAGAGATTTATTTCTTGTTTCCCTCGATACATACATATTTCTTGCTTACCTCGATGATCCAGGTAAGGAAACATGGCAAAAAGTACTAAATGTGTATAAATGTGTATATATATATAAACATTTGTATAAATGTATAAATGTGACAAATGTGTATAAATGTGACAAAGCCTGAGATTGGTCCATAGTACAAATGAGAGATCAGAGAAAAAATTACAACCATGTTAATATTAATGTTAATATTAAGCACAAAAGAGCTGGTCTGTTACAACAGTAGCTCTGTTTCCACAGGGAGAACTTTTACAGCAAAGATACCTGACAAAGCTTGCATTAAAGTGCCAATGTTGTCCAGTTTTTGTGATGTTTAGATGCTGTTCATCATAGCATGGCATGTAACTGGGTACAATATTACTTGTTAAACTGTTGTAGGAATTAGCTACAAATGTGTAGGTAGGGACAGACTGACACTTTCACTTTTTTCATGCCTATGTCTAAGAAGATTTTGGAAGAAGTCTTTGATATTAGTCAAATAGTCCCATCATATATTGGGACTATTATATTCATATATATTCATGAATACTGAACATTCATCATAGTGAGTATTTAGGAAAATGAAATTAATAGAAGTATTGTTTCTGGGTGGCAGAGTTTGAGGCTTCTGAGAAAAACACATGGTACTTCCTCATGGAATGAGGAAGTTAAAATTCACTGAGAATTAAAATATATTTCTAATATATTTCTCTTGCAATGAATGGATGCAGTATGATGCCTTTTAAAGCAAATTCTGTATGTCCTATTGGGATCAATTCAAACAGTCCAGTTATGTGTTTCAAACAGTATTTGTCTTCCACCCTCAAGGAATACTCCATCACCAATCTCAAAGCCATATTCAGTGTTTTGCACACCTCACACTTGGTGGATGAATTCCTGCTTGCCCCAAATATTTTCATCGACTGCCCCTACTAAGACAAACTTCCTGGGTGTGGAACTGAGTGCTAAAACAGATGAGGCCTAACTTTCAGGTCTAACTTTTGTCCTGACAAGTGTTGCCAAGTTGGCCAAAGCAAAACCTGAGAAAGCAGCTGTGCTGTGCTGTGCTACTTGGTGGAAAATTATATGTACAAGGGTCTGCAGACAACAAAGTAGGGCTGCTGTGCAATGCATTTCTGCTTTGGCACCTCACTCTTCCAGCCTATTTGGCGTGATAGTTTCGACATGCCAAGAACCCTCGCCATGCCAGCTAAAAGGAGAGTGAGGGCTGAAGTGGGGTGCACTGCAAGCTGCCAAACAGTTTCCTCTAAGATTGTTCTGAGTGTTTGACTAGCCAGGGCTTTTGTTCTTACAACAGTCCGTCTGCCTGGACTGAGTGTGTTGCAATCATCTATTTTAACAGAGCACAGTTTCACAGTGAGGTTTCATTTGGACATAAAAGAGGAAGCAAGTTCAGCGTGTTGCAGTTCAGTCAGTTATAAAACACCCTCATCTCCTAAGGGACTTTCTTTCTACACTTCTTTGCCACAGAGGATTAGAAGTAAAACAGATGTTATCTTAGAAGAGTAATTAAAAAGGAAATAAAACCAGAACATTGCATTTTGGGGTAGGACAAACTCACAGGAAGCTTCAAACTAGTTAGAAGACATCAATTTTTCTGTGCCTGGTCAGCTGCTGTATCTTTGGAGGTAAGAACTAAAATATATTGCACATTGTATAAATGTATGAAAATGTTGTCCTTGCTTATCAGAGTGGCTTGGTTCTGTTTGAGTGTCACCACAGCTGATAGCTGGTGAAATAAGGATGCACTTTTTCTGTTTTGAATGCACATGTGTTTGCAGAGTCTCAGCTTCTGTCCACAGACACTTTCTGTTGCCTTAAGAAGTGATGAGAACATTTCTAAGGTGCCATCTTCACTACCATGACCAACCTGTGGTTGCAATGAGACTTCAAAATGAAAACAAAATTTTTCCTCTCATACTTCTAAAGTTTCATAAAATTAGCCTCAACAGGTTTTTCAGAATATTTTTAAAGTGAGCCTTACTATCTGTGTTGCTGTGATCATAATTAAGATATTGTTATTGAAATTTCTGTTCAGGTTGCTGTACTGTCAAAGTAATGTCCTCCAACTGGAGTACTCTATTTGTAGATTACAAATAAAAATAAGCACCAAAATAGATTAATATGGACATTATATTAAAAGAAAAAGTACATAAAAAGAAAGATGAGACTTCTTTGAAAACAGGATGATGTTAAAAATTATAAACAAAGAAAGTTTATGATTGTATCTTTCCAGTTCTCAGTGAATTTCTGGGTTTGCTGCAAATTCACAGTTAGGGTATACATGCATAACATGCATCCTTTCCCCTCTTTTTTATGCTTTACAGCAAATGTGACTAATATTTCAAGGACCATTTCCTTCACTCCTTCTGGAAAGCATCTTCAGCCTTTTCTGTCTTTCTTGCTTCACCATTTATTCTTTTCCTTTCTAGAAAGTGTATTCTCTTCTGTAAGAGTTCATATGGATTTATTGCCTCTTTACTTCAAATGCTTAGATTCAAAATGTTGCAGTACATGTAGTACAGTCATAACAGCTAAAAGATCATTAAAAATTAACACAGACATGCAGAGACATGAAATGATTTCCACCCCAGGAAGAAAATGATAAAAGCACAGGGTAGAAATATTACGTAGCTAAGTCTTCCTTATGAATGCGGATCCTGATTATTTTCTGCCTCAGATTTCATGCTGTTGTTTACAGCTGTGGATATGAGATATAAAATGCTATCCAACCAGACTGATGGGGTCCTAAACCAACTTTGTATAGGAATAGATGATGAAGAAAAGTATGGAAAATGATAAACCAGGCTTGGTTTGTATGAAGTTTCAAGGAACTTGAAATGATAAAACAAACTTGGGTGGAAAACTTTAAGAGGTCAAGAAGCTATATTTACCAACCCACGGTTTTCATTATATTTTTATGGAAGCATGTCCCCCCCCCCCAACCCAAAGACACAACAGCATTCAAAAATACACTGAGAATGTATTTGTTTCTAAATTAAAAAAGCTGAATGCTCCTGAAACTCATTGCCATCCATTTAGCATGATCAAAAATTGGTAGTCATTTGTATAATAAGAGCATTCAAAAGTATAGCAGATTTCTCGGGGAAGATGTCTCCTCTGCTGCTTTCTTTAGCCTGTCCTTCCAGCAGATTCCCTCGTACTCTTGATGTATTGGATAATTATTCTCTCAAACCTACTTGCTCCCCTTGAACCAGCCCACATTCCCCCATGGGTGAGGTACTCCAACATTTCTGCATCTCCTCAACTGCTGACATGTGAATAAAGAAGATATTATGTTTTCTACTGTGGGAAGACCAAAAGATCAGAGTGAAGAGAGCTGTGGTGAGGGGGCAAGAGTTGTTTAGCCCATAATGACTGCTGAAAGAGCCTCATGGTGCAGCTCTGTGGGCCCCAGGTCTTCCAGAGCAGCAGCAGCATCAGGGAGAGGAAGTGACACGTGGTGGGCAGCATTCGAATGCTTGTGCAAAACCACCCCCTGGCTCTTCATCTTCTCCTCTGCTGTGGGCAAAGTGAACCACTCCTACATCAAACAGCAGCCACTGTTATTGTAGAATCATAGTTAGAGAGCAGCATAAATCAGAAAGGACCTCAAAATATCATCTGGTCCAACTTTTCATGGGAAAGGAAGCCTAGACAAGATTATGTAGAACCTTGTCCAATCCCATCTTGAAAACATCCAGTGAAGGGGACTCCACCACGTCTCCTGGGAGGTTCCAATCATTGATTATTCTCACTGTAAAAATTCATCTTCTTGTATTGATATGAAACCTCTTCCTTCTTATTCCTGGGAGCATTCAAAAAACATGTGGATGTGGCACTTGGGATCATGGTTTAACATTGAACATGGTGCTGCTGGATTAAGGGTTGAACTTAATGATCTCAGAGGCCTTTTGCAGCCAATGTGGCTCTGTGATTCTATTCCAATTGTGCTCATTGCCACCTTGTCTCCTTCATGTGGCTGTTTGTGAAGAGAGAGCTTCTGTCTTCTTTGCAGCTGCAGATACTGGAACACTATGATGAGCTGTCCCCCTCCCTTGGTCTTCTTTTCTTCAGGGAGAAGATTCATAACTCCTTCAAACTTTCCTGACAAGGCAGCTTTTCCAGCCCTTTGATAATGTTCTTGGTCCTCCATTGGACCCTCTCCAGTCTGTCCACATCTTTTTTGAATTTTCTGGGAGCAGAACAGGATGCTCCAGGGGCAGTCTGACACCTGCTGAGTGTGAGGATCCCATCTCTATCTCAGCCAGCCGTGCTCCCGTGGGTGCAGCCCAGGATCTGATTTTCCTCATTGCTGCAGCCCTGCTCTGCTGGCTCAGGGTCACCATGTGGAGCACCAGGCACACAATTCTTGTGCTGGGCTCTTTGGTTGTGTCAGCCAGTGCAGGAGCTGCCACTTGCCTTTGTTACACCTGATGCTGTTATTGCTGGCCCACTTTCCAGCCTGTGCAGGTCTCCCTGTAAAATGTGTCCATCTCATCACACAGTTCGGTGTGATCAGCATTACCTTTACCCAAGCCAAATGAGGTTCAGATACCAAAGACCTGTAGGTTTCAGGCACTAAGGAGAGGCTCTATTTGCCCATGTGCACAGCTCATTATATTACCTCCTTGACTGTCCTGGTTTCCCCATGCTGGCTGCGCTGAGGCTGCTTGGGAGCTGTTCCACACTAGCCCCAGGGGAAGGTGAGATATGGGTCCTTCAATAAGCAAAAGCTTGCTCTACAGACTATCCTGCTTGCCAGGGCTCTTGCATGTGTGTCTGGCAATCTGAGGTGGGTCCCTCAGCTCACAGAGGGGATCTGTCTGTATCTCCACAAACTGGAAAAATGTCTTTTAAAACAGGGAAAAAATACTGCAGACAGATCCATAGGATTTGAGTTCCCTCGAGACAGGGAGACTGTCCTCTGGGATCCCATCTAGTAAATCAGCTAGAACTCAAGGTATACCCTGTGATAAGAGCTGAGCTCCAATCCCCCCAGCACAGCTTTAATGCCATTCAGAGCCCTGGTCAGGGATCTGAAAGCCAGGCATATCCAACACAATCTTGTCTCTTCTGTGAGTTTCCATCCCTTCCTTTTGCAAGGCAGAAGAATGTCCCTTTCCCCACTGTGCTGTGATCACAGCTGGCACCATGTTCTTCCCATTCTCACTAGCAGCTTTTCATTTTGCTTAAGTTTTTGAACAAGACACAATTTATCATACCTCTTTGTGCACACTTCTCAGGTTTTCGTAAGTGTTTTCTTATCCTGAGCCAAGAACTCCCACTCTGTTTTCCTGCTCTCAGACTGGAATCTGAGGTCTTTATGCAAACACTGGCACTGTCTACAAGCATTACAACCTACCAATTTTGCTGTCACACACTTGTAATACCCCTGGATTCTCCATATGACCTTAAACATTCATCCTGCCTTCAGGCTTTTCTTGTGCTGAAGATCTGAACAAAAACCTTGAGCAAGACATAGGAGATTTTAATATCATCTGACTGTAATAAAGACTATGTCAGATAGAAAAGACAGTAAACCAGGCAGTCTTCTCCCTCTATCTCCACTAGGCTTAGACAGAATGTAGTCAGTGACCATTGCCAGGGCAGTAGCAACACAAGGAAAATTCTTTTGGTTCACCTTACATGCAAAGTGTATCAGATCAGAACTGTAAAACAAGGACTGGTTTTCCTTGTGCAACGAACAGTTACACAATTATTTTCAGGCAGATGTAAGTGAAATCTGGATCTAAGGAGCATGAAACCCAAATATTGAAAGACATTAGATATAATCTTTTTGCCCTGGGAATCCTGTGTATATGTGTATATATGTGTATCCTCTGTGGCACAGAGAGGGGATTAAGAGAGGAGGCATAAGAAAGCAGAATTAATGAAAACTTATCTGTTTCCATTAAGAATAATGAATCCTTATCAGATTTAAAATTCAAAAATTAAAGGTGCCACAGTTGCATGACTGTTGCAGTGATGGGATAATAACTTGACAGAGGTATATATTATATTGTGTTCTAGGACAAGCAGCATGAGATATATGTACCTCCCTTTTGCATTCATGCTCTCAGCACTGCCTATCAAAACTTCAGTCAGATTTCCTCACAGAGCTGGGAAGAGCCAGATCAGTGTGGCAGCCTTTGCCAGCTTCAAAGGGTAATCTTGTAACTCATTCAGCAGAACACACAACTCTGAGCATAAAGAGACCCTAATATTTTTCAATTTGCCAATTCTTTTGTTTCCACTCCTGTCTCATCATGCTCCCTCTTAAAATAAGCACAGCAGAATGCAGTGCAAAGAAATGAAACCAACGGTTTCATTTCTCTCATGTAGCACCCTATGGCAGAAACAGCTCACATCTGGGGAGCAGCAAAGACCAAAGTGTCACATGCTACCTGAACACAGCTGCCTTTGCCTATGTTGGTTGAGCAGTGGACAGGCCATATGTTACATTTACACTTCATTTCTCCAAATCCACATTAAAAATAACGTATGAATAAATGCATTATAGTTCTGGATTCAAGCTAGCCACAGTTACTGGTGACTTTTCAATAAAGACATCTGGGCCATGGATGGTGGGGAGAAGGGAACAGCCTTTTCAAAAGTGGGGAACAGAAGCAGAAGAGAGAGGTGATAACCTGAGCAGCTCTAGCATTTGACTAAGATTTCTGTGGGGGCACCTTAATTACAGCTAAAAGCCAAAGCAAGACAACAGCAGCGAACTGCAAGGACTTCCAATCCCCAAACATGATTTTTCCCCCTTCTGGGTAAATAGGTCACTTTTAATTACATGTTAGTGCCTGTGGGAAATCTCACACAACTGGCAGCAACAAAGAGAATCCAGGGTCACCAAAGCAAGTGTTTGGACACATCTAATTCCCACTAGTATTTCTGCCAGAAAGAAGGTTATTTTCTCTTCAACTTTCTCTTCAACCTTCTTCATGGTGTGGAAGTGATTGCCTCCCCCCCAGGGAAAGTATTTTCTCACACTGTCTCCTCCCTAACATCTGTGCAAATTCTGTCTCCATGCTTAGACAGGATTTAGCCAACAATTATTAGTGCAACATTTTGCACTTGCAACTGTGACACATGAAAACTTTACCAAGAAATGAGAGTACCTTCCCTCTTGGAGAAGACCATTTGTAGTATATTAGGAAAAAAAATTACTTTAATAATTTTAATTTAAATTTATTTTTACTTTAAATCTACTTTCCTTTTGCTGGACCAAACAATTTCTTTAGGACATCTTTCCCATTGATTGTATCCTTGACATCTGCTGAAGAAAAAAAAAAAAAAAGACCGAGGTGGATTTTAAACAATTCTTTTGGTAGTGGAGCTGCTAAAGTTTGGGCAGAACATTTACTGGTGTGCAGCATGTGTATCCCTGCTGGCAAATCCTGTCTTTTGTTACTAACATTTCTGTGCAGCTTTTGGGTCTGAGCTGCCTGCTCAGAGAGTGGAGAGAGTTAGTGACTGCTGGAGCCCAACTGTGCCTTTGCAGAAATGCAATGAAAACTGATTCCAGAGCTGTGGTACGACTAATCCCACAGTGAAAGAGTGAGCTGGAGTACTTCTGAAATGTGCACTTTCCTATGCATTGCACTGAAATCTGTCTCTTCAAAAGTACCCTGCAGATATCTATATCTAGGATCTAGTTTAAGATCCTTTTATAGCAACTGGAGAGTGATAAGCAAATCTAGGGCACAATTCATTTCATTTTGATTTAGGTGTCTAAATGAGGCCAGATGAATCATGCCTCCAAAAAGTTTTGCTTTTTCCACTGACATTTTCGTGTAATGAAAGGTAGAGACAGTTAATTCCATCCTGATTGCAATGCAGAAGTGCAAAGTGCAAATTTAATGGTCTGAGATTTTTTTAATGAAAAAGGAACCGCACCTACAGTTGTTGATTAGTCTGGAGCAGAAGGGGTGATACTCTCAATATGAATCTCAAATCATCATAGTTCAGAGGCAGCTGACAAACCACACAAAACAAAAGATGCTTTAAATCATATAAGAAAAAGGGGGAAACCCCAGGCTTCTTAAAAGCATATGAGAAAGGGGGAACCCCTGGCTTAATGAACTCCAGGGCAAAATTAGAAGTATTTAAGTGTAAATTACAACAGCTATTCCACAACAAAAAACTTCTTGTCCCTCTCTCCAAAATTCACTTGCCATTGGATGCGTTTGATTTGCTATTTATTATGTCATACAGAATGTGCTTTGGTGAGATTCAGCATGGCAGGGAGAATGGCTGATACCTTCACTCACTGACTCAAGTCCCCTAGTAAGGCAGAGACACTCTTCTTCATGTCCAAATCGGAGACATCTCTTTTCAGCTAGTAACTGGCGAGTGTAATCACAGCTTAGTGAGTTTAAAATGAACTTTTTGTAATTAATTTCTTATCATTTTTGTGTCTGCTGGTGGTTCCTTTCCCTAGGAGAAGGATGCTGTCGGAAGGTTACCTTCACAGAATTACCTACCTTTGCCAAGACCTGAACCCTGCGCTCTACAAGAGTTTGCCTGATGAAGGGGTGTATGAAATGAGGTCCATTAATTACTCTTCCACAGGTGAAGCACAAGGAAAAAGCCTCCTTCAGAGATGCAGATCTGCTGGCAAGTGCATTTCCTCAGTCTGCTCTAGAGGTAGCAAGCACAGCAGAAGGCAGAAGGATAATCTCCCCCAACCTGTCCAGCACCCAACACCCACAGGGCAGCCCCCTCCAGCTTCAGACATTTGTGAGGAGCTGACAAAAAAAGTCACCTACCTGGTCCCACCTTCCTGCAAGAGCATTTGCAAGAACTACAACGATTTGCATATAGCTGGGGACTACGTGGTGCCAATCAGCTCCGTCACCACAGATTTTGCTTGTGACAGTGGCATAGGCCCCTTCTTGGAGTCCTCAGAGATTCCTCCTGCCATGGAGTCTGTGAAGGCTGTCCCCACAGGTGACACCATCTGCAGGCCGCCCCACGGCCACTCCTCGTGCTGGCGGCTGGCCAGCCTGGGGCCCCACCAGCAGCCCCTCTCCGACTCCGCCCTGAACGACTACCTCGAGCAGAAGCTGGTGGAGCTGTACAAGCAGTACATCATGGACAGCACAGCAAACAGGGCATCCCCCACCCAGATCCTGGCCTCTGAGCTGATCATGACGAACGTGGATCAAATCAGCATGCAGATATCACGGGAGAGGAACATGGAGACTGTCAAGGCCAAAGACATTGTCATTAGCCGCTTCTTACAAATAGCCAGTGGGAAGATTTCCTCGGAAATGAGCACACCTACTCTGCATATTTCCCAATATAGTCACATCAATGCTTAGTGTTTGAATGTTTTTATGTTCTTCAAAGTCAGTTTTTAGTTTAAGATACTTTCTGCTTAATAAAAATGCATTATCCACCACTTAAATAAAACCTTTCAGTACATATTAAATAAGTAAAACTCCCTGTACTCCTGTGCTGTGCAGCTCCTATTGTGGACCAGTAGGTTTTTCTATTTTCTTTTAAGTGTTTGTAATGAACCTCAGACATTAAAAAAGTTTCACAGAAAAATGACTAAGAGCATATGAACTCGTCCAAGTGCTCAGGTGTTCACTTTGTTTCTCGCATACTTAATGTATAATTTCAACTTTCCTCTCTCTGGCATCTGCCATCCTACTTCTGGGTCTGCTTGTGCAGGCTTACACTCATGTAAGGACAAGCAAGCACAGTGATGGCACAGCCACAGAAATACAGATTTTAGGGTGTCATCCAGTTCATCTTCCTGGCCTTAAGGGCTTTACTTAGGACATCCTTCACAGAAGGTTTTAGAATTTGTTCTTAAAGATATTAAGGGATAGACACTTTACAGCTCTTTCTATCCTAACCCTAATTTAATTGGTGCCCTCCTGTTCAAGAGTCACCATCCCTTTTTGTGAAGCACAAGCTCTGTTTCCAAACAGACAGCATCCCCCAGAGTGTGTGTAAACCTGTGTGCTTTGCACTGACCCACAATGAGCACTGGGGTCCTGTGATCACAAACACCACCTTTGCCAGGTGCTCACACATCTGACAGGGTGAAGGGGTCATGCAGGGACAGCAGCAATTATAGAGGGAGAAGAGGAATTAATCTTTGTTATGAGAATTGCACATTGAAGAAGCAGGGCTACTCCAAAGTCCATTGGATTAATGTGAACAGGGCCCTGGAATGAAGAAAAGCTGAAATAGAGCATTTGACACCATGGCTGAACACTTGTTAGGATTGTTGTATCACAGGTCAAGATCATTTGAGCTTCATGTATTTCTGATAGAGGGTCCTATTTTGTAAGATTTCACCAAGTTAAAAAAAAAAAGAAAAAAAACCAACGAACCAGAGCTGCCTCATGGCAATGTATAATGTTCATAATGTATAATGCCAATTGATTGACAATGCCAATCCATCATTGGTTGAAGTTCTGAGTATCAGTATAACATAAATACTAATTTATTCTAAGTATTCATAAAATGATTTCATGTTATTGTTTCCACAGTGTTGTTTTGGCCTTTGTGTGCTTTTTCTCTCTGATTTATTTATTTATGTATTTTATTTAAGGCAGGTTTTTATGTATATTTTAAAAATAAATGTAAGGTGATAAGCATGTCAATTTATTCTAGTGCTGCTCTTTTTCCACAGATTACTGGGATAGCTCAGCATATTTTCCTGCATGTGCAGGTATACAAAAAGAAAGTTGCCATGAGAACCTGTGATGCTTAAATCCAGAGGGCGTACCTCTGTTGCCATAACAGCCTACCCAAATATTAGTATTCAGCAATTCAAGACAGCTAATTTCTGGCATGCAATATTTCTAGACTGTGATAAAATGCTATTTGCAAATACAAAAAGAAAAGACTATTTTTATGGGAAAATAACAATCATGTTAATGCATAGGCACACACATACATTCTGCATGCGGCATCCATTACCAACAACCTGGAAAATGACTTTCAGAGGAGAGCAAAAGCATGGAAATGTAACAGTTTTTGTATCCAGCAGATATAGATTCAGGTTTTTCAAAACACAAGGCTTTTGTTCATGCCTATTGACATTCACATCACTGAGTTCAGTTGCAAGAGATGTAGCGGAAAGCAACTTGCAGAGTTGAATGCGTAAATCAATACCCTTGCTTAAAGATCTGACTCCTTCATCAGAGGACACAATCGATTCTTGCACTCAGCTCTCCCCACACCTCGTCCTGCACAAACAAAACAGCATTTTATGGTCTCTTCCTCAGAAATCCCACTCTTCATTTCCCCCCAGACGCGTGGGCAGCACCTGGTGACCATGTCCTCTTTCTCAGAACCGCAGCAGGAAGAGGGAGGGCAGCTGCACAACAGGGGCCAAGAGCTCTGCCAAACCCAGCGAGCAGAAACCTCCCACAGCTGCTGTGCCAGGGGGCTGCAGACAGAGCCAGGGCAGTGCTCAGAGAGCAGCAGTGAACAACAAATAAATGTACAAATCAGGCTCATGCTTATGAAGGGCACTTATCTATCAACTACAAACCATTCCACTCTCAGGAAGTTTTCTTCCAAGCAAATCATTTACTGCAATCATACTGGCTTTCAAGGAAAGATCTTATTTTGTATTGTCAGATTGACAATACAAATTTTATTTTATAAAAAAATCATAACCATTGCAAAAGCTGATTTATTCTGGAAAGACAGCATTAGCCAACTTCTTCCCCACATACAATTATTTTCTTTTCTCTGCCTAAATATAAATGCCCATTTCACTTTGAGCCCTGTAATGTGCCTGTTTCTCACATGAATTACATACCAACCACATCCCACTACCTGAAGCAGCTCTTGGATTTCAGGCAGTTTCTACATAAACAACTTTTTTTTTTTACTTTCCACCATACCCATGATGAAAGTGCATTTATGTCTCTGTCCTTCTCCCATTAAAACCTAATCTTGCTCTGCACAGGTGCCTCTCTAGGTGTGCCTGTTTCCTGCTGAAAGCAGTTGGATGGCAATTAGGCTGCTATTACCATGACTCAGGTTGTTATCTAAAGTGATTATCTTATATTCTCTCTCCTTCTCTCTCTCTCCCCCACCTCCTCTTCTGCCTCAGGGTCAAGTATTTAAAGAGAGAGATCTCAATTTTTTAGTAGCTCTTTGAAACAACTAATTTTTAGTCAGGGGCACATCATTTCTTGACAGGAGCTTGTCAAAATGCTGATAGGAGTCCTGGTGTCTGGGGAGTGTGTGTTGGAGAGGAGAGGTTGAATTTTGCCCTCCCAATACTTCCTAGCAGTATGGATATTTTAATATGACTAACATAATTTAAGAAGGCAAATAAAATTGTGATGAATATTTCATATTTGGTTGATATTTTGACCGACTGTCAAGAAACTATTCTCAGAAGGATAGTTTATAGCCACCTTCAGCATACTCCAGCAGCTTCCTTAGGCCTTTTTTGCAGAACATATTACTCATTGCTGACAACATGATTATAGCAGCTAGGAATTTTATTGTTTATAGATGTGGTGACTGTGCCTCCAAGAGTCTGAGCCCACCACTGTGGCAGATGAACATTACCTGTGGACTCCAGGAAGGCTGGATCTGTTGTGTCACAAGAAAAACTCTTGGCAGAGGGAGAAAAGAGAAGGAAAAGGAATTTGTCAAATTTGCTGGAACCTGTATGTCCTGCCTTTGGTTTTAACCCTTTTTCTGGCTCTGATTTCTTGTCTGTACTGAGAAACACCGGAGGGAAGAAAAATGGATATAAAGTGCAGACTGGTCTTTGTGCTGAATGTGAAAGAAAACATTTCATGCACTGGTGACTAGGTTCAGATGAAGACAAAAAGCTAAGAATCTAAGACTGAAATAAATGAGGTTCTACAGTGCTGACTCCAGCCAGGCATATTGCTGCTATTTCACCTTGGGGAAGCTGAGACCTCCCAGTTCATCTCATTCCCCTTCTCTCCTTTCAAAGATTGAAGCAGTGGGGATTTATTTAGGACTATCCCTTCCCTGAGCTTCTCTTACCACAGGTTTCTCTCTGAGATAGGAGAGAAACATCCTCTTCACATCCTCTGCTGGGATGTAACCAGCTGTCAGTATAAATGGCTTGGGCAGGAGCAGATAAAAGGGACTGAAGGTTTTGTTACCTCAATTATCAAAACTGGTGTAACATATCTTGCTGGGTATGAGGGTATGGACTGGGAGGCGTCCCTTGCTCTCCCATATTCAGGAGGGATTATTATCAATTTAGGGAGATCAGTCACCATGTTGCAGTGACATCTCACTGCATACTTTAAGCCAGTATTGACACATGAAAGGACTGCTACACTTCTGATAACTGGTGAAGTTACTAACTTGCCACACACATCAAGAAATGAAACCTGTATGTCTACAATTGGTGTGTGTCCGCTTGGCACCTCTCTGTTCACAGCCAGCCCCTCTCTGACACTCACAACAGCTATGGACAGTGCTCAGAAGGGACATGGATTTCTCCAGCTGCATTAATTACATAGAGTGAGAGCATGACAGCAGCTTAAATCAATGTATTAGCATCCAGATTGACAGGGCTGGACCCTAGTTGGTGGAGCCATGTCAGCTAACATGGACTGAGACCTGGTCTCCAACCTGTGCTGTGCTGGGTAAAACCACCACTGCCTCTGAGGAGCATTTGCAGTTTAGAAATATGTAGCAGAATATGACTAACATGTAAAGGAACAGAAGTTTAGGTCAAACCAGAATTATTCTGTGCACTGCAGCGTTACTTCTGCTTCTGCTGTACTGGGGAGAGCTGGCTTACTGTCTCAGGCATTTCTGCTGACAGGATTAGGATGGCTTTTCGGAACATTAGGCAGGCTTTCTAAGGGCTGAAGGGAACAATGTTCCTGAGGCTCATTCTCAGACCTTCTTACATCTCTTTTAGGGCAAATGTTGAATGAACTACCTTGCTTGAAGTGAAAATCCCCTCTAGGAGCATTAAAAGTGCCTCATTTTGTTCACATCTGGTTATTGAACTCCATGCTGCTGTCCTTCACAATGTGACACTCCTGCTTTAGCTTTCCACAGAGCTGGTCACTGAGGGCTCCTGCATTTCTGCCATGTCAAAACCTCCGGGGCTGTCCCAGCATTTCCCTCCATCCTCCTGCCATGCAACCCTACATTTGGTGGTTGTGCTCTCTAACCTCCCCTTACTGCTATAATCCCCCCTCGAAGAAGGTGATCCTGGCTCCCCTAAAAACCAGAACAACCAGGACTAGGGCAGAGTGAGATACTGAACATCTGGAGGGAACCACTGGCAGAGGGACATGGAGAGACTTAAAGGCTGGTGATGGCCTGAGCTCCTGTGGGAGAAGCGAGGGACTCCTGTGAAGCTGGAGGAAGTCCTTGCAGAGCTGAGTTTGTGAAACATACTGGGAGATGGTGGGGAGCTGAGGAAAGATGTTTCACAATTTTGAAGACAAGCCTGAGGGATGGCAGCATTTCCAGCCACTCCCTGCATGGAAGGAGTGTCTCTGCACTTAAAAGACAGCAATTTCCCCAGCTCCACCCATGGCATGTTTTAAGCATAAGGAGTTGTAGAATCCCACATGGTGTTTCCTTCCCTCCCTCTGCAGCCACACCTGGGTGTGATGGGCACAGCAGTGCCCATCAGCTGTGCTGGACAGTCACGTTCCAGCCTCCCCTCCTGCTCCTGGGGTGACACTGGGGGCTGCAGGAGCTGCTGCTGGAGCAGTGGCCACCCAGACACTCCACACTTCCTCCAGACCCCGCACTGGCTCACTCAGCTCTGACCACCAGGTATTTCCTCCTTTACTGAACTTTGCTTGCTAAACACAAAGTGGGATAGGAGACCTTTCTTAAGCACAAACAGTGGGAATGGGAAAGACAGGAATTACAGAGTCAGGCCATGCACTGGCTTCTTTTTACAAATTAATTTTTCTGTAACCAGAGCTAGACTATAAGAATAAAATCATAGTTGACTTTGGTATTTTCATTGATGCAATTGTCCAACGTTCCTCTTTACACACAAGCTCCCTTGCCTGAAAATGGATCCTGTTTGCAGGGTAGGGATGAAACAGGATAAAAAAAACCAACCAATAATAATTTGATAAGTCCTGTTATAACACAGGTGACATATTACAATGCATTTCTACATAGAAACCATATCAAAAGAAAAAAAGAAAGAGCTTAACAAAGGTAGGCTCACTAATTTTAAGAAAGAGAGGTTAGAGGTTTTCAGTTCCATTACTTTTAAACCAATCATTCTCAAGGTTTAGTTGACCTATTTAGCGAAAGCTGGCTGCAGTATCACTTCTGAAGCTCAGTGCTTGACTAAAGCACATTCAAGGCCAT